GAGGGTCAAAGGACCGCCGGGAGTTGCTTTAGACACCGACGTGTGGGAGCATGCCCGGGCTGACCCCACGGGCACTCCTCCCATCGGGGCGACCAGCTTAATTGTGATGCGGCGGCCGTAGATGTGGTGGTATTGCTTGCTCAGCAGCGCGTCCACCGACCGACGCTCGGCGAAGGTGACGAAGCCAAAGCCGCGCGGCCGGCGGGTGAGGTGGTCGTGCATGATGACCGAGTCTGTGAGCGGGCCGAAGTTCTCGAAGAAGGCGCGGAACGAGGCCTCCGTGACGTCGTGGCCGAGCCCACCCGCAAAGCACTTGAGGCAAGCGCCGTTCTCGTCGTATATCGGGCCGTAAGGTCCCTGCCCACCGCCGTACCCGCCTCCGTACCCGCCTCCACCTCCGCCTCCACCAGTTGCGCCGACCCGCCCGCCGCGGACGCCGGCGCTGTCGCCGCCGGCGTAGCTATCTCCGCTGCCGTCGTGGCGGGTCGCAGTCGACTTGGCGTACAGGGGCGCCGAGAGCGGACACCCCTTGATAGTGTGCGGCTGCGCAACGATGGCCTCGGCGGTGGCGGCGTCGGCAACCGTGATGAAGGCGTAGGCGCGCGCAGTCCGAGCGCCCCTCGGGTAGAGGCGCGAGCCCGCTGAAGGCGGCTTGATGACGACCTGCGGCGCGTAGCGCGACTCGAGGTGAGCGCAGCGCGGCCGGGCGTGCCGGGCAGGAGAGAGGCGTCTATACACGCATGGCGCGCGCCTCGGTGATTTCTCCAAATTGCGAAAAGTAGTCGTGCAGGTCGGCAGGAGTCAGGCCGGACGTGAGCGAGAGTCCGCCGAGAAAGAGCTTGACTGGCAGTTGCTCCTCGGCAGGGGCTGGCGGCTCTGCCTCTGCCTCGTGCGCAGAGCCTGCAAGCGCAGGCTCGGCTGGGTCCTCGTCGCCGGAACCGGCGTCGGCGGATGGCGCGTCGTGCGGAGGCGGCGGAGGTGGCGGAGAGGGGGTCTCGGAGGGCTCGGGAGGCGAATCGGCGCGCCGCTCCATCGCGGAAGCCGATCCTGATGGGGGTCTAGAGCGACCGTGTGTTCATGCGCGGGTACCGGGTAGTCTCCCCCCATCCCCAGGGCCTCCAGGGCTCGCACCTCAACCTCTCACAGACCAGCGCATAGCGCCATACGACGTATTTTCTTCTCATAACAAGGCTGTGAAGATACTCCAACAAGCTGCGGTTGTGAAAGCTCCTATACCGCCCTGGTGCCTGATCCTTCCCATCCGCCATCCCTCCCTTGGGTTCTCTGTTTTCTTTTCTTCTTTTTGGCCTGATCCTTCGTCTCTTTCACGGCCCAAGGGCTTGCCACCAAAATAAAACGTTCGTCGCGCAAAATAAAATAAAACGGCCCTTAGCGCAAAAATAAAACGTTCTCCCATTCTCGAATTTTCTCAGATTTTGCCCCAGACGCAGAGAGAGAGAGAGAGAGAGAGAGAGAGATATCTTTCTTTCAGACGCATGGTTGTTGCACGCGTGCAAGATTGGGCGTCTTCTGCCGCAGTGGCCCCGCAGTCGGTGGCAGTCCCTTTGATGGGCGGCCCCTGGGGCAAGGGGGGGCAACCCTCGCGTCTCCACGTCTAACGACAGGAGCCCCACGGCATTTAAAGTGCAAGGCCCGGTGCGCGTGGGTGAGCGGTGTGTGTGTGTGTGTGTGTGTGTGTGTGTGTGTGTGTGTGTGTGTGTGTGTGTGTGTGTGTGTGTGGTGTGTGTGTGTGTGTGTGTGTGTGTGTGTGTGTGTGTGTGTGTGTGTGTGTGTGTGTGTGTGTGTGTCTCACGTCACTGCATCCTCTGCCGGTTCCTCCCCCGTCGCCTCTTCTTTGTTCGAATGTTTTTCAATCCATCCTTCACGAAGCCCTCCCATGTGGCTAGCGTTCTTTGCGAATGTCTCGAGATGGCCAGCAGGCGCTGTCTGCTCGCGGCCTGTGCGGGCCGCTCGTCCTCCTCGCCCTTCTTTTGTCCTCCCGTCCCTCCCCTCCACCATGGCCTCCTCGGCACTTCTTTCTCCATCCGCCTCGCCCTGCCTTTTCGTATCGTGCCGTTCGCCCTCCATTCGGTGACCTCCATGGCTGTCCGCCTCCTTTTGGGTGGCGCTCTCGATACCGTTGTGACGTATACGCTGTGTGTTTACCCGCGCAGAGTTTCGTCATTCGTGACCCACAGCCGGGGGAGCGCGCGAGGTGGGTGGCGGTTTTTATAGTATATACACACGTGTCCGTCGTCCGAGAGAGGAAACGTACCGTCCGCGCTACGTGCCATGCTAGATCACCGGTACACTCGCAGAGGAGAGAAGCTCTCGCAAGGAATCAATCAAATGCGACACGAAATTTCAAGGAGCGTCGGGGGAGGATCCCTCGGCCTCGCCCCGCGCCAGATCGTCGTCGACGTCGGCCGCCTCCCTGGAGGACGAGAAGGAGGAGGAGGCGAGCGCGGGCTCCTCTCCCGCCGTCTCCGCGGCATGCGCGGCAGCGGAGGCCTGCTCGGCCGAGGTGTCGGCAGCGGCCTTCTTCTTCCGCCGCTTGCCGTAGCGCTTTCCCACGTACCTAGCGGGGAAAGAGGGTCGCGTCGGCGGCGGCGGGCGCGCTGAAGGCGGCGACGTCCGCGGCGGGCCACGGCGCACGTCTTTCCGCACGTGTGCGCCACGTGCCGATAGCGAGGCGGGCAGGCGGGGCACGAGGCGCACGCGGGTTGTGGCTGGACCTCCGCCGCAGCCGCGGAGGCCTTTGCCTTGTCGCAGGTGTGCGCGACGTGCTTGAAGTAGGGCGGGCACGCCGGGCAGCACGTCGGGGGCGGCCTGCGCGCGCGGGCGGAGCCGGCTGCGGCGTGGCGAGGTGCAGTGGTGCAGTGCGTGCAGTTCCCCGCTCGGCGCACCGTCCTAGCAGCATCTGCACGCTTCTGCGGATCTCGCGCTCGTCGCCAGAGGGCGCCGGCGCCGACGACGCGGCCGCCAAGGTCAGCACCGGCTCGCGCTTGCGCCCCATCACCGAAAATCCCTTTCGCTCAATCGAAGCCAGCCGCTGGTGCCGATGCTCAAACGCGGCATCGTCGAGCTCCTCGCTGGCGTCGGAGTCGCACGGCTCGCCGTCCCGCGGCCGGACGACGCGAAAGGAGGCGACCGGCAGGCCTTTGATCTCCTTTGATCTCAGGCCCGGCCTCAGCCCGCCGCCGGGCAAAGCAATAGGCTGAGACGTGCAAAGCGCCTCCGGCTGGGCCGGCGCTGCTGGGCGTGCGAAGACACCCGGCGGCGGCGAAGGCTCCGCGGGCGACGGCAGGACAAGCTCCGCGGCAGGACATTTGACAACCTCCTCAACGAGCACCTCGAGCGCATCCATTCTGTGGATCGGCTGCGTGGCGGCTCTTGCGCACGATTTCTTTTTCTACTGTCCGCGTTGGTGTCGAGCCTGGCTGTTCTTCACCTTTCTACCTACCTACCTACCCCTGCTCAGTATGCTCTCGGCATGTCTCTGTTGTTCATCTTTCTACATACATACATCGCTCTCGGGCCCACAGACATCCTGCACACCCGCCGCCCCCCGCGCCCCACCCCGGCCGGGAGAAAGGGGAGTGACAGTTTGGGGCGGAAAGAAAGTCGAGTATCTCGCACTCCATGTGCGAGAACGCAGAGAGAAATGAAAGCCGTCCGGCTCACAAGTCCGGCTCACGCGCCCCGAGCTCACCGTCTACCGCACTGAACACTTTCGCCCCCTCGCTCCCAACCCACCCACCTTGCCGCGTGGCGCCGCAGAATCGCGCGATCACGGGCGATCTCGGGCCGCGCCGCGCGATTTCGGGGGATCTCGCGCTATTTTGGAGTTTCAGGCCAGGGCCGGGCCCCCCCCCCCCCCCCCTCACCCCCACCCCACCCACCGCCGCGCCGCGCTATCCCGGGCGATCTCGGAGCGTCGCTCGCGCGGCGGCACACCTGCTCAAAAAAAGGAAGGGCCAGATTGGAGCCACGGGGCTCACGTGCTCGCTCGGGGCGCCGCCTCACTCTGCGCCACTTTTGAGCAGAGGTAACTTGGAGCACTTGGAGTGCAGTTGGCAGCCTCACATCCAGGGCCGGGGAGCTCAGAAGCGCACCCAGCGGGCCGGATGATCGGGATCGGGTTACGGGCAAGAGAGCCCTAGCCCCGGGGGTTCGCGTTCGCAGGGAAAGGGCCTTAAAGTAAACACGGGTCCCCGAGGGTTAGCTCTGCGCTCCGGGTTTCCCCTAGCAGCGGAACGCCCCCTCTACTCGGGGCTAGTAGGTAAGCCCTTACTTTTTTTTGGTACGCCCTCCGGCCCGCCTCAAAAGAAAGAAAGAAAACAGACAACCCAAGGGAGGGATGGGAGGCCCGCCTCCTACAGCCCCGGCGCGGCTGTAAATTCTTTTCTCGCGATGTCCACCCCGCCGCGCCGCCGCTCGCGCCGCCTCGCCACCACCGCCGCGCCCCCGCCAAGCACGCCGCCGCCCGCCCGCCTCCTCGACCTCCCCACGGACCTCCTCGTGCGCGCCTTCTCTCACTGCGATCCCGTCGACATCGCTCGCGTCGCGGCCGTCTCCGCTTCTCTTCCACGCCTCGCTCGCGGAGCAAGGCATCCGCTTGCGCCTGCAAGAGGCCGGCTACGAGCCGCCGGCGCAGCCAGAGGGCGAGGGCTGCGCCGTGCGGTGGCTGTGCTACTCGGCCGTGCTGCGCGAGGCCAACCCGCCGGTGAAGGCGGCGGCAGGCCATCAGCACAGCCTTTTCATCGACGGCGAGGGGCGGCTCTCGTCGTGTGGCTCAGCGCCGTCCTTCGTTCCAGGGCTGCTCGGGCACGGCGATGAAGTGACGCGGCTCAACACGTCGACCCGCCTCCCTTCCCCGCTGGGCGGCGAGCGCGCCATGAGTGTGACGGCAGGAACTGCGCATAGCCTCGCCCTCACCGGCGGCGGCAGTGTCTGGAGCTGGGGCAATGGATGCGATGGCCCGCTGGGCCACGGCGACGAGGAGGACCAGTGGCAGCCCAAGAAGATCGAGGCCTTTGCTAACCGGCGCGTCGTTGCTGTGTCGGCGGGAGGCGACCAAAACATCGCCCTTACCGCCGACGGCGCCCTCTGGAGCTGGGGCTGGGGAGGCTTTGGCAAGTTGGGCCACGGCGACCAGCAGAACCAGCGGCAGCCGAAGAAGATCGAGGCCTTTGCTGGCCAGCGCGTCGTCTCTGTGTCGGCGGGATTCGCGCACAACCTCGCTTTCACCGCCGACGGCGCCGTCTGGAGCTGGGGCGGTGGACAGGACGGCCGGCTTGGCCACGGCAACACGCAGAACCAGCCGCTGCCAAAGAAGATCGAGGCCTTTGCCGGCCAGCGCGTCGTTGCTGTCGCGCCTGGATACTTCCACAGCATCGCCACTACCGCCGACGGCGCCCTCTGGAGCTGGGGCGATGGAGGTGCGGGCCAGCTGGGCCACGGCGACCAGCAG